CTGATCCGGGAACCAGATATACATGTAAACATGTACATGGACCTGACTTTTACCAGATCTCTGCAACCAGTATATCTAGCAGATCTCTGCAACCAGTATATCTAACAGATCTCTGCAACCAGTATATCTAGCAGATCTCTGCAACCAGTATATCTAGCAGATCTCTGCAACCAGTATATCTAGCAGATCTCTGCAACCAGTATATCTAGCAGATCTCTGCAACCAGTATATCTAGCAGATCTCTGCAACCAGTATATCTAGCAGATCTCTGCAACCAGTATATCTAGCAGATCTCTGCAACCAGTATATCTAGCAGATCTCTGCAACCAGTATATCTAGCAGATCTCTGCAACCAGTATATCTAGCAGATCTCTGCAACCAGTATATCTAGCAGATCTCTGCAACCAGTATATCTAGCAGATCTCTGCAACCAGTATATCTAGCAGATCTCTGCAACCAGTATATCTAGCAGATCTCTGCAACCAGTATATCTAGCAGATCTCTGCAACCAGTATATCTAGCAGATCTCTGCAACCAGTATATCTAGCAGATCTCTGCAACCAGTATATCTAGCAGATCTCTGCAACCAGTATATCTAGCAGATCTCTGCAACCAGTATATCTAGCAGATCTCTGCAACCAGTATACCTAGCAGATCTCTGCAACCAGTATATCTAGCAGATCTCTGCAACCAGTATATCTAGCAGATCTCTGCAACCAGTACATCTAGCAGATCTCTGCAACCAGTATATCTAGCAGATCTCTGCAACCAGTATATCTAGCAGCTCTCTGCAACCAGTATATCTAGCAGATCTCTGCAATCAGTATATCTAGCGCATACGCCTTGCCTATTACATCTGTAAACGCGTGTGATCGAATTCATGTGTTCAATGCATTCTAGGTTGCTAACATAACAAACCAGACCAGACACGGTATGGACTCATGATTGTATGTAGGTGTGAACAAGTTAGTTTCTGGAAATGTTGTGGTGTTTGGTTTCCGCCCAACATTGTGGATCTGCATGTTTGCACTAGCGTGCAGCTGAACCAACGTGCCTTGCAATGCTTTGCTAGGCTTTTCTTTCACTGTATCTTTTTGGTCACATATTACCGTACACTTTTCTTACTGAACGGAATCTTAGAACGAAGAAGGAACGGTCGGTTGTTGTCTTTGGCGGTGTGTCGGATCATAGTGCATGCTACTAGGCGCCATTCGGTTACAGCACTTTTTGGTGCCGAAACCCGGGACTCAGGAGTTTGTGTTGTAACTCGGATTAGTCGGGCGAATTGGGTAGCAGTGCGTGATGGCCAAAGTTGAATGCTTCTTGAGACCGTTCCGTGGGGGTCGGGACGACCTGAGCGAATTCTGGGCGAAGTTCTCAGTTGTCGCGGACTTGCAGAAGTGGGACTCGGACGAAAAGAAGATGGCGAATCTACCGCTCTATCTCCACGGGTTCACAAACCCTTCCATATCTGAACCTGACTGTGACAAACGCGCACTGCACTCGTACTTGAGAACTGCATGAATGCAAACACACTTGTCGTGCACTAAGCATCGATGTCTACATACTATCTTGCCCAAAATTTTTTCTTTGCCACTTGCCTGATTTTTACGAATATTTGACAGCTCCCACAAGAACACTCCCAGCGACGTCGAGACAATGAGTAACGACCACTACAACTGACATCCATAAGGTCAAAGGCCCAATCAAGGTGTCCGGAAAGCAAAACTTCCGCAAACAAGCACTGATGGAGAGAAAATTGCAAACGACTCGAGACATCTAACATTTTCTTGACAATTTTTCGACGAAGATTTGAATATATTCAGCTCGGAAAAGTGGCTAATCTGCATAAAAAAGTACAACTTTTAGACGACTTTTTCGGTCTTGGCGCATGGACTGCCTGGGGCCTGTTTCCCAGCACAGTATATTTTGGCTCAGTTTTCTTCTGTCCCTCTTTTGCTAAACATCAACACAAGCTGTATCACTTTGTTTTTGCTCGTCAAAGAGGGGGTTGATGTTCTAAACAAAAAACCCAACAACAGTGACCATGTTACCATGGCAATGTTCTTCAATGTACACATACCTGTACACCAGCTAGGGGTGTGCGGATAATGCTTGAAAAGGTGGCAGATTCTGCTCGAAAAGCAGTGAAATTGGCAGAACCATACAAACCTTATGGCGGGCAATTCTTCGAATTCTGCTCCATTTCTTTATCCACATACCAAACATGCATGAAACTTACCAGAAAAAGTACCGAATTCTGCCAATTTTTCTGCCGGCATTATCCGCATATACCTAACACCAGCCTTGCACCTTGTTGTTCTGTGTGACAAATACAGTAACACAATGTCAATGACAACTGTTCACGGATAGGGTCCAGCGGATAATGCTCCGAAAATGTTCGTATAATGCTAACCATAATGCTCCAAAAACTGCCTTTTAATGCTGATTATAATGCTTCAGCAAGGGATATAATGCTCTTGGTTTGGGACAATAATGGAAGAAAGTCTGCACATTGTCAAACTTCCAGGAAATTATGCATATCGTCGACCTGCATCTGAAGTTGCCACCTTATCTCTCACGACACGTCCACAACTAACTGTACGTGCTTCATCAGGAAAGTAAGACAGGCGCTGCTGAGCTATTGACTTGGTACTGTCAGAGTCCATGAGAAATTCTAGTTCTTTTCGAGCCTCCTGATCTGGACTCGACAAAGGCAGTTCATTTGAAACGAGCTCTTTCTGTTTATAGCCACTCCTTCATCCTGGTCCAAATTTAGCAATGCATCAGTGTTTACTTCAGTATCGCTAGAGATGCTATCGCCAGAGCCTCTGGCACAACTAGAAAACTCTTCTTCGTCTGTTTGATATTCACTTCGCGTATGTCTCCTCCATAGCTCTCCATTATTCTAAAAGTAAAAGAAACCTCGTAAATAATTTCTCCGGATTTGTGTCACTTGAACTGCCTCGGCCTCGGTTGGGCATGCTTCACAAATGGCTTGTATACATTTACCTGACCACATCGCTACAATCATAAGTTTTTTTATGTAGCAATAGTTATGTAGCGTAGTGCTAAAGGTGTTACGTGTGTACACAATCACAACGTCATGCGCCGGTACAATGCATAGTGCTCGGATGCCCGGAATGGGCGGAGCGTAGTACGCAAGAGGAAGGGACCGGCGGATTCTGCTCGAAAAAGTGGCAGATTCTGCTCGAAAAGCAGTAAAATTTGCAGAACCATACAAACCTTATGGCGGGCAATTCCTCGAATTCTGCTCCATTTCTTTATTCACATACCAAACATGTATGAAACTTACCAGAAAAAGTACCGAATTCTGCCAATTTTTCTGCCGGCAGAATCAGCTGGACCCTAGCAAGAGGTACACAAAAGGAGTACAGTAGGGCTGTTTCGTTGTCACCCAGAGTTTTATGGCAAAAACCAATCATCAGACAACATCTCATGATCATGATTGTAGCCGATTGTTGCCAAAAACCTGGGATTTCCCGATATTATCCACTATGAAACTCGTTATGCCGCTCAACCCTCACATAATGCTCGTTTTGTTCCTTTCTAATGCTCTGGTGCTCGGATAGTTGTATAATGCCGAATATAATGGCGGCATTATCCGCTGGACCCTATTCACGGAGCACTTTCGTCACACACACGCACACACACACACACACGAACCGTGACACACACACACACACACACATACACACACACACACACACATACACTCGCGCGCCTTTAGCATTATCGCAGCAAATAACTAGCATTACCCGCCCATGCCTAGGTAGTGGACAGTATAGCGTAACTTGTAGTTCCATGGTCTTTCTCTTTTGTATACGTTTGAAGTAAACACCGATCTTTTTGCAGCTTTTCCGCACTGGATTCGCCGAGAATCCATGTTTTAGGGTCTAAAAAAAATCACGGTTCGCGTGAGACTCGGCCAAAGGCCCAGTTTCCCGCATCCGCAGGAACGCCACCACCCTCTTGGATCAAGGCGCAGATGCAGCTCCTAAGCGGTGGGAGGTGAGTAGATCAGACCCACCACCAAGTGGTCAAAGACCGAAATCCCATTCACTGCATCCATGTTTCCCTCGTGCCAGGCCACGAGTTCCCAATTAACTGTGGGTCGCAGCACGGCTGGAAAAAATCCTTCCGCTTCCAAGCAGGACTTGAACCTGGTACCCTCAGGCAGGCATAGTGGGATGGTCTAAGACCATGATTGAGAAACATAGGGTACCAGGTTAGGACCTAAACAGCATGCAAATACAATTTCTGTAGGCATTATGATGAATATCTGCTAAAGGTGACAGCGACTTTAGGGCATTTCCGAAAACAGTCAGCAGGAAAAGACGCCGAAATCAATGGCTGTCAATAAATCGCCGACAATTGCACCGAATTTACCAATTTCGCCCTGAATTCGCCGAAAATGTATGTTCTAGAGCCTGTAGAGAGTGCGTGTAAACGTACATTTACATTCACACTGCGAGAGGTGACTTCAACTACTGCTTTGAGCCGAATTCTGACTTTGGGGCTCATAATATGGCCGAATTTGGACATTTTCTTAGCCGTTCAAAAAGCCGATTAGGCGACAGAATTGCGCAGATTTGGGAAATGCGTAGACAACAATCATGTAGTCATGCTGTGCTCCTACAGTCACGTGACGTGTAAGTGCCCAGGCAGAGGCCGCTGAGCAGAGGTACTAGTACTAGTCTATAGCAAGGATAGTATACAATGTACAGTCCCTTCACCTGATACCCATAACCATGGAAACATGACGTCAAAGTGTTTTCACGCACTCAGTCCATATACATGTATGATTGTCAGTCGTGCAAGCTGACAAAGCGCCATCACGTGATTGTGTTGTGTGGTGCGTTAGAAGAACAGGACGTAAAGCATGTGTATAATAATAATAGTTACAGTTCGCATGTCACTCATGGAAGGATCCATGGGCTTAACGCATCTGTCAACGAAATCCAGGCAGAAGAGCCGACAAAAGGCATCTCATTATTGTTAGAACGTATCGCAGTAAGAACAACTACGCAAGCGCAGCACATTTTCCACATGCATCAGCCATTCTTTCTTGTCTAGAGCCAGTTCAAAACAGTCAGAAATATCAATATTGGCGTGCTTTAGATCACTTTTAATATTGTCAATCCATCTGAGATGGGGTCGGCCACGTGGGCGCTTGATGTCCCGGGTATTAATTGCCATCTCCAGTGCTTGGTAGGACGCTGAGTTACGTCCTTCGCGAACAACATGGCCCAGCCAGAGCAGCCGACGTCTGCGACAGGTGGTGCTGACTGGGCCTTGTCGCGTTGAGGCGTACACCTTGGCATTCGACATGTGGTGAGGGTACACCACACCAAGCAGGTACCGCAATTTTCTGCGGTGCCATGCGTCCAGCCGATTACTGAGTTGCTGTGTCAGGGCCCACAGTCCGCAGTTATACAACAGGATAGGCAAATTGAGGGCAGAGAACATACAAAGTCTGGAGCTCAGTTTATGACGCTTCCACGAAATGGAGCCGAACGCTTTATTCGCAGCACCTATTCTTGTCTGAATATCCTCTGCGGACCCCAACAAAGAGCCAAGCAGCTTGACAGATCGCCAAAAGGAGTCGGCTTTAGTTACTGTAATATATTGTGTTTTCTGAATATTTAACATTAGGTTATCTTCTTTGAATTTTTCACTTGAGCATGTGTGACTAGCTGTAATCCTGGACTAGATCACATACATGACTACATGTCTGGGAATATGCTGGTTGAAAGAACAAACAACAACAACTACTCCTAGTCCTCATGATCATCCTAAATAAATTATTTACACAGACGGTGAAGAGAACAAGTTGCCCAAACACTGCCATCAGAATCAAATAATTACTTGCCTCTGTGTTCTATTT